AACCGTATTAAAGGGTCCTGGCATGAGGAAGGTGGAGAACCGCTGCAGTAGGTAAACCTGTTGCCGAAGACCACTTAAAAGTGCCGAAAGGCAAGTGTGTGAGTCCAGGTTGGCCAGGGAAACAAATTCACGGACACTCATATAGGTGCAAGAGAGAATCTCATAGCAAGAAGTAATTATGCATCAATACATGCCCCAGCCCAGTCCAGATCAAGTCCATAACTGCAAGATTAGCCCATATGTCCAGTATTATTAGCTCAAAAATTCCTCTTTAGACTCATGCAGCACATGCAATGATGCCCAATACAGGAAGATCACAGGCCGGTGGGTGGAAAGTCCCATGTCCCCCATGGCAGTGGACGCGTCTCCAGGGCCCTGGCTGCCGTCAGCGTGGCCCCATGTGCCTTGTCAACAGGAATGTGTAGCAGAGAGAGTGCGTGGTCCACCTCCCGGAGAAAAAGAGGAAGTTCCCAGAATCCTTATGGGAAGGCCATGCCCACACAGAGGCCTCATTGGCTTTGACCTGATTGACAGGCTAGACTCCACCCCTTCATTCGTAATTCCCTCAAGTTGACACAAGCTTATGTAACCAGCACAGCAAGCATGTTATTCTGAGGGTTAAGATACGCCTGACCCAAACCATGATATTTTCAGTCACCTCATGTGGTAGATATGTGATCGTTTGTCAATTTGAGGATTAAGAGTGTAGGGGTGGAGTCTAGTCTGTCAATCAGATCATAGCCAATGAGGCCTCTGTGTGGGCATGGCCTTCTCCTGAGAATTCTGGGAAATCTGGTACTTCCTCCTTGGAGGCCAAAGACCCTTCTCTCTCTGACACTCCCTGGGAGACACTGCAGCTGACCAGACTCATGGACCCACCCTGATGAGGAGACCCCTGCCAGCGCTGAGATGTCTCCAACACCACTGGATCCGAGGACTTTCTACCCTCTGGCCTGTGATCTTCTGCATTCAGTGTCATTGCATGTGTTTCGTGAGTCTGAAGGGGACTTTATAGATTAGTATCTGACATATGGGCTAACATCGGATTTACGGACTTGATCTGGACTGGGCTGGGATGTTTTCTCAATGTTCGATTCCTCTTGTATGTAAATCTCTCCCTCCCTTATATACATATGCGTGTTTATGAATTTGTTTCTCTCGTCTACCCGGGCTAATGCCCCTCATAAACTCACTGCCATTTAGACAATGCTGACTGAGACTGTAACTGTTTACGGGAGAAGAAAGCCCGGTCTTTCTCCGCAGAGCTGCTTCCCATGCCGATCGCAGGCCAACACGTAAGCACTATACCACTATTGCCTCATATGCGTGTGGAAGTTGGACTTTGAATAAGGAGGACTGAAGAAAAATCGATGCATTTGAACTATGCTGCTGGCAAAGAACACTGAAAGTACGACAGATTTCCAAACAGATCAGGGGGAACCGATCACAAGGATCTACATATACCCCCTCCCTGGGGGATGGACAACAGATAAGTGGGTGAAGGGAGACGTCGGACAGTGTAAGACATGACAAAATAATAATCATTTATAAATTATCAAGGGTTCGTGGGGGGGGGGATGAGGAGCTGATACCAAGGGCTCACGTAGAAAGCAAATGTTTTGAAAAGGATGAGGGCAACAAATGTACAAATGTGCTTGACACAATGGATGGATGGTGATGAGTTGTATGAGCCCCCAATAAAATGATTAAAAACAAACAAACAGTTCTGTCTTGGAAGAAGTACAGCCAGAATGCTCCTTACGGGCAAGGATGGCGAGAATTTGCCCCACGTACTTTGGGCACACTGTCAGGAGAGACCAGGGCTTGGAGAAGGACAACATGCTGGCAAAGTGGAGGGGCTGCAAAAAAGCAGGGCCCTGATGAGATGGGATGATACAGGGCCTAGGACAATGGGCTCAGAGAGTGGCTGGAACAATTGTCCGGACGGCACTGCACCACCCTGGGCAGTGTTACCTTCATCCTGCTGTGCAAGGGGTCAGCACATGGCAGAACCGGACTGAACTGATGGCGCCTAACAACAAACAGCAACACGTACTCGGGACGAATTAGACGCCCCCCCCCCCCAAGACTCCTCTGCCACTCATTTAGAGGAAAGGTGTCATATGCCCTGTGTGTGCAGGGACACCGCCAACCAACTGCCACTTTACAAATTACCTTGTAGCTCTCAACTTCTTTGTATTCTCCCTGAGTTCCACACTCAGCTTAGACTTAAATATATATATATATATATACAAGAAGTGTTCAGTGACATTAATTACTTTCATCTTTTTTTTAAATCATTTTATTAGGGACTCATACAACTCTTATCATAACCCATACAGACATCAATAGTGTCAAGCACATTTGTACATTCATTGCCCTCATCATTCTCAAAACATTTGCCCTCCACTTAACCCCCATCATCCTCATTTTCATCTTGTGCAACCATTTCCAAATAGTTCCATTACCCTGGACAGAAACTCATTACCTTCCTTAGCATGGACTCATCCTCCGTCCTCCCACACACCCCTGGTGACCACTCATAAACTCTGGTCTCTAGACATGTGTCTCCACAAGATACTTCATTTAGGCGATGGCGCGCAGTGTGTGTCCTTCTGTGGCTGCCTTACTTCACTCAGCATCATGTGTTCAAGGCTCGTTCGTGTCATGGCATATAGCAAGACCTCGCTGGTCTTTATGACCAAGTCACATGGTGTCTATGACCCATGTTCTGTTTAGCCATTCATCTGCTGGTGGGCATGTCAGTTGCCCCCGTTTTACCCACTGTGAACAGCGCTGCGATGGCCACTGGTGTCCAGTTGGGTTTGTGTTCCTGCTGTCAATTCCTTCGGGTCTACACCCAGGAGTGACAGCAGCAGATCACACGGTAGTTCTATGTCGAGCCTTTGGGGGAACCTCCTGTTTCTCAGTCACTGTATCGTTCTACAATCCCGCTGGCCATGGATGAGGGCTCTGATTTCTCCACATTTTCACTGAGACCTGCTGTTTTACTTTGTCCCCCCTCCCCCCCATTCAGTCGTCCTAGTAGAAGGGAGGTGAGAATTTGTTCCTGTTGACAGTTGTGATGCAACCGACGCTGCACATTTTTTTTCATGTGTTTGTTGGCGATTTGTGTATCTTCTTCGGTGAACTGTCCATTCAAGTTCTTGGCCTAGCTTTTGACAGGGTCGTCTTTTTCTTCTTTTAACAGCGTTATGAGCACTTTATGCACATGCCATACAATTCAACAGGGGGCGGCAAAAACGTCTCCTCACGGTGTGGTCCCTCGTTGCCCGTTATTCACGTTCACAATAACCCCTTCTTCTTCATATCACTGCAATGACTTAATGGGCCAGACTATAAACGACCCGAGGGGAGGAACAGTGTCTGTCTCCTTCACCTATGTATTCCCAGTTCCTAGAATTCTGCCTGGCACACCCTCACTGCCATCAAGTCAATGCTGACTCACAGAGCCCCTACCCCCACCTCCCGTGGGTTTCAAGACTGTAGCTGTTTGCAGGAGTAGAAAATCCAATCTTAAGGTTAGCAGCCCAGCAGGAAGCCACTAGGTAGCCAACCAGGACTCCCCTACCTGGCACAAAGCAGGTGCTGACACAAACAAAGGAGCAAACTCAACCAACATTTGCTGAATGAATGAATGGGGAAGGAAGTGAAACACACAAGAAATAAGGCAAGTTCCTTGCCCTGAAGAGTTGGCCGGACCGGAAAAGCACGCACACAAAACTACCTGCAAACGTTAGAAAGTAATACACTTGTAACGATATATTTTCTTTTAGTGCAAAGGAACGGATCATGGAAAGGCCATTGAAATGACCCTCTCAGTTAAGACACGTACAATACACATTCACAATCTTTGTCCTGGGATTAGGGTGAAATCAAATCTTTAGAGACTTATAGACTGGCAGCCTTAAGTGGAAAGGATCAGTTTTCAGCAGGAGACCGGGAACCAGGGGTGGGGGAATGCGGGAGGGGAGGGTAGAGGTGGGACAGGGAGGAAAAAGAGGTGGCTTGGTTTTCAACAGGAGCCCAGGAAGTCCAAGAAGCATTGTAGCAACTTGTCCAGGAAGCTGGACAGGCAGGGCTGAATCACCAAAGAAACAAAACCAGTTTTCCGTTGCCACACCGGTGGAGCAGGTTGTATCCATCATACACGCAGGATGTCAGACAAATTGAAGGGGCACAAGGAATGATGAGACGGGGGTGAAGTTGGGTTAAATCCAAAAGTGAAAACCAAGCTCACAGAAAAGTGGGTGAAGGGAGCCGTCGGACAGTACAAGACATGACAAAACAATAATTTATCAATTATCAAGGGTTCGTGAGGAAGGGGGTGTGGGGAGGGAGGAGAAAAAAAGAAGAGCTGATACCAAGGGCTCAAGCAGAAAGAAAATGTTTTGAGAAGGATGATGGCAACAAATGTACAAATGTGCGTGACACAACCGGTGGATGGATGGTGATAAGAGTTGTACAAGCCCCCAATGATTAAAAAAACAAACAAAACCCAAGCTCACCACCATTGAGTTGATGCTCATTGTGACTCTATACTATAGAGTCTATAGGACAAGGTGCACCTGCCCTCGTGGGTTTCTGAGCCTGTCGTTTTTTTAGGGAGGAGAGAGCCTCGCCTGTCTTCTGAGGCTCCCTTCCCCCTGCCCCGCCATTCCCGGCCCCAAGGTTTTCTCATTCCAGGATTTCCTGAGACTTCGACCCCAACAACCTGCCAGCAAGACCCCGGGCCACGGTCTGCGTCGGTTGCTCAGGCCTGCGACTTCCTGGTTCTGCAGGAAATGATGTCACGCCCCGTGGGCGGGGTAACCGGACGCTTCCCTCTTTCCGATTGGCTGCCCGGAATTGGCCTCGATTGGCCGTGCTGGGGGCGCTCCGGGATTTGCGGTCAGTGCCTGTCCCCTGCTCGTCCGCCTCCGCTTTGGGAAGGATTCAGAGGTCCGTACTCTGTGGGCAGTTAGCCTGGGAAAGCGAGGTGATTTGAATGGTCCTGGAATTGCCACCAATCTTTGACGCGCTTTCGGCCTCTCGGGTACTTTTGGTTCTATTGGCTCTCCGTAGTAGGGCGGCTGTTTCAAACCGCAAGGAATTGTGGACTGTGTAGTTTTAAATGCGGTTGCGTGGTGGCGGGGAAGTGTACCACGGAGGCTGCAATAGGCCGAGTTGTCGGTGCAGCCGGAGGTGGTGGGAGTTGGGGACTTTCAGCACCAGGGTCTTGGTTTGCAGAACCAAGTTGCAGGACTTGGTTTGCAGGACTCTCAGTAAGAACTCTGCATCTAGCACCGCTGTGGTTTTCTTTTCAGCTGCTGGCCTGAATCAGGCCCATCGCTCTCTGAGCAACACCACCGGCCCGTGGTGGAAGGGACCAGCTAGCCAAATGGAGATGCCGCCAGGCAGTGCGGAGGGAGAAGAGGACACCTCCCAACAGCACCCACAGTGGAGAAGGAAAGCGCAAGAGGACCCCGCTCCTCACTTTAGGCATCCGCCCAGAGGCGCTCCTACGGAAACCGTGGAGCTGGGTGGAAAGCCAGATGCCACCAGCCAAATTCTAGAGCGCCCTCACGAACTGGCCACTGAACTTGCAGAAGATTCCAAGTGTCCTGGATCGGCCAGTGAGCTCCGAGAGCCCCTTCAGGCTTCCCATCTCTGGTACTGTCCCGATGGGAGTTTTGTCAAGAAGATCGTAACCCGTGGCCAGGGCTTGGAGAAACCCAAGCTGGGCTCTCGCTGTCGGGTACTGGTCTCGGGGTTTCCTGTAGGCGCAGGACTGCCAGGAGGCTGGACAGAGCTCACTGTGGGAATGGGGCCCGGGAGGGAAAACCCTTGGAGAGAGCTGGTGGAGAAATGTTTGGAGTCCATGTGTCAGGGAGAGCAGGCGGAACTTCAGCTCCCTGGGCACCCCGGGGCCCCCGGCAGGCTCACCCTGGCCACCTTCACCCAGGGCCGGGACTCCTGGGAGCTGGAGGCCAGGGAGAAGGAAGCCCTGGCCCGGGAAGAACGTGCTCAGGGTACAGAATTATTTCGAGCGGGGAACCCTGCAGGGGCTGCCCGATGCTATGGACGGGCTCTTCGGCTGCTGCTGTCTTTACCTCCACCTGGCCCTCCAGAACGAGCCGCGCTCCATGCCAACCTAGCCGCCTGCCAGCTGTTGCTTGGGCAGCCCCAGTTGGCCGCCCAGAACTGTGACAAGGCACTGGAGCGAGAGCCTGGACACGTGAAGGCTTTGTACCGAAGAGGGGTCGCTCAAGCTGCCCTTGGCAACCTGGGGAAAGCAATTGATGACCTCCGGAAGGTGTTGGCCATCGACCCAAAGAACAGGGCCGCTCAGGAGGAGCTGGGGAAGGTGGTCGCTCAGGGCAGGAAACAGGACGCTGCGTTGGCTCAGGGTCTCCGCAAGATGTTTGGCTGATTAAAAATTCACCCTTATAAGAGACTGAAACCTGTGACTCGTGGTCTGTGCTGTGAAACTTCCGGGGAGCCTAGAGGTGGGGGGGGGGGGGGACTTTCACCCCATATCCCATTTTCGGCTTTTGCCTTAAAGGACGTAGCGGTGGCCTCGCCGACCTTCTTTCTTATGATGCTCGGTTTGGGGGAGGAGCTACCCGCCTTTTCCGGCGTCTGAACGTAGATAGGCGAGACTGGGGGAGGGGGCCGAGGTTTAAAGTCTGAACTACATCTCCCAGGATGCTCTGCAGCACGCAGCCCTGTTGGGCGCATGCGCAGATCTCACAGCCGGCGCGGTGAGGCCGCTACCGCATCCGCTCGTGCTCCGATTGGCCGGAGCTGCGCAGTCACCGCTTCTATTGACCCATGTGTTCACCACCCCGGTCTCTTATTGGTCGGAGAAGCTTCCGGAACGCCCCCCTGTGTCCTCAGCAGTCAACCGATTCGTTGACGACGGGGAAAGGCGGGCCTCGGGAGCGTCTCATGCTGGGGGGGTGGGGGCAAAGATGGCGGAGCTGATGCTCATCAGCGAGATTGCCGACCCGACGCGTTTCTTCACCGACAACCTGCTGAGCCCAGAGGACTGGGGTCTGCGTAGTGCGGCCTCGGGGAGGGGAGGGGGCGGCGGCAAACTGTGGCCCTGAGGCACGTGGGAAGGAGCCGGAGGCCCAACGAGGAAGGCTGGGCCGATCCGGAATCCACCCTCCGAAGGGCGGAGCAGGGCCCCCCCCCCGCTGTGCATTTGGTGGGGTGGGGGTACCCTGGGAGTTGGGGACGAGCTCCACTCGCTTCGGGAGCATTGGGTGGCTCCGGAGTCCGTGGGGAGAGGCAGAAGTCGGTGGCTGGATCCCTTTCCAAGTCAGCGACCGATCCGATGGGGCAGGGGCTTGTGGGCAGGTCCGTAGGCTAGGCCACCGGACCACCCCCTCCACCTGCACCCCCTCACCCTCCTCACCCTTTGCAGACTGTGCCCCGTATACTGGCCTGGATGAAGTGGCGGAGGAGCAGACGCAGCTATTCCGTTGCCCCGAGCAGGATGTCCCGGTATGGCTCCCGCAGCCTGTCTCTAATCCTGGGGTGGGGGGCGTGGGGGTGGGGGAGTCGACCCAGACCCAGGACACCTCCCCAGGCCAGAGCTCCTCTGCAACCGTGCCTCCAGGCTCACCTTCCTGCCTGATGATTGCTCCCACCTGCAGTTTGACGGCCGGTCCCTGGACGTGGGGATGGATGTCAGCCCCCCTGAGCCCCCATGGGACTCCCTGCCTATCTTCCCAGGTAACACGGCCTTTTTGCTTTCCTCCTCCTCCTCCCAGAAACCCTCATCCTCTCACTGTTTCCCAGGAACTAGGAAGTCTGGAATTCCCTGCATTCTCACCCCACCTCTACATAATCCCTTGCACGTTCTTCCCCTCCCCCATTGGTTCCCTAGTAGGGGGATCCCCACCCTTAGGTCCCTGGACACTTTTTGGATTCCTCTCCGGCTCCGATTCCTGGTGATTTTCGAACCCCTTCCCTTCCAGATCTTCAGGTGAAGTTTGAACCCTCCTCGCCCTGCTCTTCCTCCTCCCTCAGTTCCGAATCATCCCATCTCTCTACAGAGCCCTTCAGCCAGGTGAGCCAGCCAGCTTCCTCCGCCACCTCCTCTCAGTGGCAGGCACCCGCTCCATTCCTTTCTTCCGTAGATACTGGAGAAATGGCCTGTGTGCTCTGAGCTCTGATTGGGTGGGGGTTGGGGGGAGTTACCCTTCTTCCCCGCCTTCCCCATTTGGGGGATGCCCTCAAGTTCATCTCTCTACTCTGTCTAAAAGTGAAGACGGGGCCCTTTTACTGTCCCGAGGTCAGGGTAGCTGGGAAGGAAAGCATGGTTAACCACAGGGAATTCTGCCAGTGCTTCTTACTAGGGTGTCTCCTCCAAGACCCTATTTCTAACTTGAGACGTCAGCTCTCCCACAAGTAGAGAAGTGAGAATGAGGGCCCAAGGTATATCCTAGGAAGACACTCAGTTCCCCTGAAACCAGACTGTTGTAGAATCGGTGGTTTGCGAGCACTAAAGCTTTCGTTCTTGTGCTGTGCTCACCCCCTCTCCTGTTTTTTGGTTTTTCCCTCTCCTTCTGCCTGCCCCACTCTCTCCCAGGCCCCTGGTATAGGTGAGGTGCTGGATGTGAAGACAGAGTCCTTAGCACCCCCATTATGCCTCCTGGGGGATGGTCCAACATCCCCATTTGAAACCGTCCAGATCCATGTTGGCCCCAGCTCTGATGGTCCCTCAGGTAATAATAGCTTTCCCTGATCCTCAGGCTTGGCCACGGTGGAGAGAGAGCGTGTGCGTGTGTGCGTGTGCGTGTGTGCTCGCAAGCGCAGAAGAGGGTGAAATCAGAACAGGGAGGAAAAGGTAGAGAGGAAAAGTGGCAGAGAGCCAAGGAGGAAGCCAGGAGGGCGGGAGAAATTTAGGAAGCCACAGCAGTATTGAGTTGAAGGCGATTTCCTTTCTTTGTAGGCCTGCCATACTTCCCAAGAGTATATCTTTTCTTAAAACGTACTGACAGTTTAGCGCATCGATCGTTTATGTTCCTTCCCCCCATCCCATCACTGTATCATAAAAACTTCCAGACATACAGGAAAGTCCAATACCATCTACCCTATCTGTAGATTCAGCCAGGAACGTGATGGCTCTTGCTTCATTTTACTCAAACCCACACGTCATTTTTGATGCCAAAGTGGTGTTACTGTCTTTGAAGAGAGACTTTAACCCTATGCCCAGATCACGTCCACCGTAACCATCAGAAGTGGGTCCATTTCACCTTGGGGCCAGTGGAGCGGGGGTCAGCCCCCATTCGGGCAGTCTCTCATGCCCAGCCCAGATCTGCAAGCAACCTCATCCTCCTTGGCAGAGGAGACAGGGAGAGGAGGCGGAATGCCTGAGCTTTACCATGGAAAGAGAGTGCTGGAGTGAGCCTCTGGCCTCAGGGGTGCAGGTGGATGCCCTGCACCGGATACCCAAGAGAAAGAAGCTCCGGACCCAGTATTGTGCTACTTGTACTGTTTTTTAAAAGCTCTCTGTGTGTTTCCTCTTGTGTTCGAAAGTGTGGATTGAGCACCTACTCCTAGCCAGGTACCAGGCAGCGTCATTTGAGAATCCTGCAGTGTGGGAGCAAGCTCCTCAGGGGGTGCCATGGAAATTTATAGAAGGGGAAACTCTTCATTGCCCAGTGTTACTCTGTGAGAAACACCGCAAGTGGGTGGCTTCTGTTTCCTCGCAGCTCAGGGCACAGCTCTGGGGGAGGAGCCTTGTCCGGTCCGCCATCGCTCCTCCCCATTTGTGCCTGCTTGTGGAGGGCTCAGAAGGGATTAGGCTTAAGATTTATTGTACACCCACGCGTCTCATTAACGTAACAAATAGGATTACATCCACGTGTGGGAGCTAGGATTCCAACACATTTCTAGGAAGGACATAATTCAGTCCTGGATTGGGACTGGATCAGGAGCACGTTCCTGGGGGAAAGGTGCGCATCCTGAGCCGGGTGTGCACGCGCTCTTGGAGGGACCCGCCCCCCTGCAGAGTAGACAGGAGTGTGGCAGTTGGAGAGGCTGCAGGCAGGGCCAGGCGCCTTCCTTGCTAATCCGAGGGGCTCAGCTTTTGCTGTGTGGGCAGTTGAGAGCCTTTCAGGAATACCGCAGGAGAGTGATAGGATTGAGAAGGTGGCAGAGTAGAGAATGGGTCGCAGAGAGGAAGACAGGAGGCAGGAAGACCAGAGGAGAAGCTCGCGCAGTAAATGGGGAAAGATACTTGGATGCCGCGGAGAAGGTGGAAGCAATCGTCATTGGAGTAGGGTGGGTGGTGGAGACAGGCGGGCATCAAAGGATGCAGATCGGCTGCAGGAGCTGGAGCGCCTGGCTAGGCAGGACGATGCATTCCAGGTGGGAGCTGAGGACTGCCACTTTCAGAGTGACAGTGGAGCATGCTGATTTGGACTACGGTGACCTGCCAGGGCAGAGTTGAGTCCCCGTAGGGTTTGTGCAGTCAACGTTACACTTCCATAGAAGCGGAGGCGCCCAGTGTGATGAAAGCAGATCACTGTAGCAGCGGGAGACTGGAACCGACCTTCTGCTTAGCAGCTGAGCATGCTCCGCACTGTTCCCCCAGGACCGCTGGAACCTAGACGGGGACTCGAGGGGAAGCTTCGGAAGTCCTTGACATAGGAAAGCAAGGCGATGACTGAAGTCAAGACTCCCCCCGAGAGTGACCCTATGGGACTGATGATGGTCCTGGGAGTTTGCGAGGCTGTGACTCTTCCTGGGAGCAGAAAGCCCTGTCTTTCTCTCTCGGAGCAGCCGGTCTTTTCCAACTGCTGCCCGTGGGGTTAGCCGCTCGGCATAACCACTCCGCCATCGGGGCTCCTGGCTGAGGCCCAGGACGGTGCAAGCTCCCAGAGAGTTTAAGACCGGGCGGGAGCTGAAGCCATGCTGCTGCCGGTGGGGCTCCCAGGGAGTCCACGCAGCCGGAAACCAAGGAGCCAGAGCAGTGGAGATACAAGGACATAGGAGATCTGGGGGTCGGGTAGTAGGAGGGGACTTGGGGTCAGCCTCAAGTGTCACGTGGCAAGAGCAGGCTAAGAAAAAAAGGGGAAAACAATAAAACTCAGTGTATTGAGTCCACTGTGACTCGGTGGCCCTCTGCGAGAGTAGAGCTGTCCCCTGTGGGTTCCCACTGTCATCCCAGAGACGAGGAACAGAAAGCCTCGTCTTCTTCCCACAGAGCAGCTGGTGGGCCCAAACTGCTTACCTTGCGGTTACCCAGTGCGTAGCACTGCCAGGCTAAGAGATTGTTGATGGGATCCAGGAGGCCAAGGCCAAATCTTGACTTCATCAGGAGCTGTTTGGTTTGGGGCAGGTTACTTAACCCCTTTCATCCATCAAAACGAGGATGATAATGTGTCTACTGCGGAGGGTAGATGGGAAAATTCCATGATCCTTTAATTGCATTCTCCACAAACTTGGAAGCCGTGTGTGTGTGTGTGTGTGTGTGTGTGTGTGTGTGTGTGTG